TGTCCTATAAAATGCCATAATATTCATAAAAAGAGTTGACAATCACAGTATATTAGATGACTCTTACCTTTCAATTCTCTTTGAAGAATAATGAGGTTAGATTATCCTATAATGACTAGAATTGTTATTGCAGGATGCTATTCAACCCCACCCCCTTTTGTCCTGTACAACTGGTATTGATGTGTTTATATTTACATAGTGTTGGGAAAGGAAAGCAAATTCATTTCATTAGGAGAAACATTAATGAAGCTAAGAAATAGGTGGATAGATGCAGATTCATAGATGACTTGGTTAAAATGTCAGCTACCTAGTTGCTAGGTGTCTGAACTGCTAGTGTTACATATCACCAAATATGAAAAGGAGGACAATACCTTGTAAAGGTTTTCATGAGATCATTTATGTAACATTAATGCAGTGCATAACACATGTTATTGTCATTACTAAGTGTAACTATAATGAATTTTATTATTAAGAGTATTTTATAATGTTGTTATACCTTAGATAATGAAAATAGCTTTCAGTTTTCTGATGGTTATCTGATTAGTAATTATATGTTACAGTAAACTAAAGAAAATAGAAACATCTTCATTTAAGTCCTTATCTACTTAAGAAGAATAACTTGTATACACTTATATTCTATCAAAGTTGATAAATCTAAGAATTCTACTAAGAACATGCAGAACACTGCCAGAGGCTTCCCATCCATTTTCTTATTTTATCTTTGCACACCATATATAAAGATGAATCTTTGTAACCAATAATATTTATGTGTATAAAAAGGACAATTCCAGGGCAGTGGTGGCACATGCCTTTAATCCCAGCACTCAGGAGGCAGAGCCAGGCGGATCTCTGTGAGTTTGAGGCCAGCTTAGTCTACAAAGTGAGATCCAGGACAGGCACCAAAACTACATGGAGAAATCCTGTCTCGAAAAACAAAAAACAAACAAACAAAACAAAAGGACAATTCCAAACAGACAAGCAAGACATTAAATTTATAAAATACACCCAAGCATTTACAGTTTTAATTAAGTTATCTAATAATGAAGCATTTTGTGTTATTTCAGAAACACACTCTTATATGCCATAAGATGGTATTCAACAGATATGGTCAGTCTACTTCTGGATGAAGGCATTGACTTTTTCTTTAAAGATGTGTTTGGATGGACTGCCTTACGTTATGCTATTGAAGGCACAAGTAAAGGGTAGGTGTTTGCATT